GCCGACGGAGGGACCAATTACTGTCTTGTCATCTCCAACGTAAGATACGCCTTCAATCACACAGGAGACCTCAAGGCAAGTGGAATACTGTTTTGTTAAATGTGCCTACTAACCACTTGCATTTCAGCAATGAGCTGGTTCAATGGCTAGACACTCTTCCAGTCCAAAAGGAGAACGCCTCCGTAGGGAACCGATGGTTTCAACTACGGGGAACCGTTCAATCCACCACTCAGCGTGTCATTGGCTGCGCACGCCGCTAACACCGGGAACTGTTCAACGAAAATGATGCAGTCATCAGCAATCTGCTCGCCGGGGAGAACCGCCCGCACAAAGCCTACGTTGACTGCCCTACCGACGTCGCGAAAGCAGCCTTCTATCAAAGTCGCCGTCTTGTGCAACAGCGACTGAGGGAAATGCAGAATGCTTGGATGGCTCGCAAGGGCGAGGAAATCAAAGGCTATGCAGACAGCAACGAATGGAAGAACTTCTTCGATGCGACCAAGGCTGTCTACGGTCCCAACTCAAAGGCAAGGTTCCTCTGCTCAGCGCTGATGGATCTGCCCTACTCACTGAGAAAGCACAGACTCCGAAATGCTAGGCTGAGCACTCCCAAAGCGTATTCAACCGTCCCTCCAACATCTCCGACGCCGCCATCGACCGTCTGCTTCAGGTGGAAATAAACGCTGAACACGACCTCCTACACCCCCTTCACGAAACCATCATGGCTCTGCAGCAAATCTCCAGCGGGAAAGTATACGGATCCGATGTGACCCCTGTGGAGATTTACGATTACGACGGCCACCAACTTATATTCTTCCTAACCACGTTCTTTTAGGAAATTTGGCGACAAGGGACTTCAAGGACGCCACAATTGTCCATCCCTGCAAGTGAAAGAGCATCCGCCTACTCTGCGACCATCATCGTAGAATTCCGATGCTCGATACCACCCGCAAGAACTTTGCCTGTGTTCTCCTCCATCTTCTTAACAACCACTTGGAACAAGGACTCCAGTGTGGTTCCCGTTGTTACCGCGGCACCTCCGGCATGATCTTCGCCGCAGGAGAAGTGCTAAGAAATGCGTACCAACCTCTACACCACCTTCGTGGACATGACGAATACATTCGATGCGGTGAATTGCGTCGGACTGTGGAAATTCATGAAGAAACTCGGCTGTTCTGAGCACTTGACCCACATAGTACGTCAGCTTCACGACGGGATGATGGCGCGTCACAGAATAGGGGGTGGTTTCTGAAGCCTTCGCAATGACTAATGGGGTGAAGAAGGGCTGTGCTCCCGCATCCACTCTCATCAATCGCATGTGCTCTCTCATTCTGATGACGAGTCTCGGGATCACCATCAAATACAGAACGGACCAGTACCTCCTCAACACGGGTAAAAGGGTGTTGACCTGACCTGCTCGGGAGCGACTGCGCTCCCACGACCACAACACAAGCGAATATTCAAAGAACGATGCAACACTTCGCCGCGGGTTGCGTAAACTTCGGTCTTACCATCAACACGGATAAAACGGTGGTCATACATCAACCACCGCCCGGTGTTGATTACAATGCTCCAGA